TGAAAGTATTGTTTTTCATTCATAAACTAGAGTTAGAGCATTTTCCAAGTGTGAGGATACAGATAGATGGTTATTAATTTAGTATGCTTATAGAGTTTTACAATACTAGAATTTCTATTTGTTCGATTCTTAATCTTTAATAGCGATAATGTTAATAAATAAAAGTAAAACAGCCATTTTTTTAGTTTGAAATACGTTGAAAATTTCGTTTTTTGGAAGCTGAATTCGTTTACATATTCTATATTTTTTGAATATGAATGCGCAGTTGTATAAATTTATATGTACGTGTAGAATTTACCAAGTTCAGATTTAATTACGAAATAGCGTCTGCAAACGAGTTTAGCATCATTTTTTACATTTATAATATTTTTGTTTCATAAAAATACCAATGCAAAGAGAACATTGTCGAAGATGATATCGAAAATGAGAACAGTACATAAATTCATCCTACAAATCATTTCTAACGTTTCTGGCGAATCAAGCAATACATTTGAAACATTTTGCTTCTTTTCGATTGCAGTTCCTGCATAAAGCTTTTACCACCACAACAAAAGCAAATACATGTATTATGTTGTTGGTTTTTGGGTTAACCGATTTATAATAGCAATAATTGAGATATATAACCTCCCACTTGATACAGCATTTTAATTGCCCGAACAGAATTATCAAATTTTCGGTCCTTATTATTATAACAATAATCATCAATACGCTAATGTTTAATTTAGAACCTTCGTATAAATCGCTAAGCAGCATTGTAAACTGATTCGCTGTTATATTCTTAGTATTCTTATCAATCTTTTTTGCCCCTATTTTATCATTAACAGCATCATTGTTTATGTGCTATTATTTCTATCGAATTAATCATCAACAAAGGTAAAATATAAAGGCAAAGAAATAATATATATGTAATTTTGATGCTTTTGTGTCCTTCCTTAACAAAATCTACAAAGACCCAAATATAAAAGAGTTCAGAGGTAAGAGATACACAAGTCGATTTTTACTATTAATATTACATAACATTACATAACATTCATGTAACATCTCTTCAGAATGCTACAATCGCATAGATTAAAACGTATCAAAACTTCTCAGGAACAAGACGCTGATCGAGAGATTTCTATAACTAACGAAGAAAATGATGTTGATGTCTCACTAGATGTCTTCCAACCTCCAAATTTATTGTCCATGCCACCCGAAATTCTTATTCATATTTGCAAAAATTTGTCTCCTATCAATCTTCTTTCGTTGGCGCGTGTTTGTAAACTATTTAATGCATACCTTTGCACAGATGAATCAATCACAACCCAACATATCTGGCGAGAATCTCGATTGAACCACGTAAGATTTCTTCAGCTCCCACCACCAGAAGGGATGAGTGAACTTCAGTATTGTCGTTTAGTACTCGAAAAGGGATGCCAGCTATGTGGAACAAAGCTTACCAGAAAAGTGTACTGGGAATTTCAGGTTCGTTGTTGTACTCTTTGTTTAGACACAAATACATTAAGGTAAGAGGTTCTTTTTTATAGAGAAAACATCTTCGAATAATTTCTGTAAGTAAATCAATTCTCTTTTAAACGAAAATAGTGAATGGGACATTCTTGATAATCTCTATAACGTCCGAATACAAGATATCTTGCCAGCTATTAAAAAAGCACGAGTCACATCATACACGCTCAATCGATTCTGGAAACCACATTTACAGATGTTCTACAGAGAATTTGAAGCGATTCCTGAGGATAAGCGATTGGACTGGTTGAAAGCGAAAAAAGAAAAGCTATTGATATACAATGAAGATGTTTCTCAACGACAAAATGAAGAACGAAAAGAACGCGCAAATAAATATTTCGAGCACAAGAAACGATCCGAAGACCGTACTAAACTCCTCCTGGCAAAATTTCAAGAAGACTTGGCAGCAGAGATAAAGGAAGATGGCCAACCAGTCTACAAGGAATCTTACATTCGTGAATGTTCATCTTTTAAAAAAGCTTGCGCGGAAAATTCACGCCCGTTCACGCCACGATGCTGGAAAAATTTGAAGCGAAAATTGCGAGAGGAACACAAAGTGGTTGAAGCTATGAAGATCAAGGAAGAAAATGAGAATCAAAAATGGCGAGCTCTTATGAGACAAATTCGACCTTCATCTTAATGACCAAGGTTATTTTCAAATAGATTATGACTGTAAATTATTTAATAGGAATTTTTTATTTAGAAAATAAGGTCCGCAATATAAATCGACAATTACGTGTACATAATAGTTCTATATTCATATATAATTATAAACTTTTATTACTTACAGAACTGATTCTAAATATGCTTCTATATAATTAAAATGACAGGAAATCATCGAATCATATTTTTAAGGTTATTCCAGCATACCAAAAACCTCAAGTATAGAAATATAGTTTTTCTATCGAAAGTTGCTATTTATGAAAAAAAGAAAGTTTGTAATACATCCTATATAGGGATAGTCTATCGAAGGTTTTATAAAAAAAAAGATGAATGTACCCTCGATGAATATACCTTCGATGAATATACCTTTCCCATAGGAATAGTAAAGAATAAATTGATTGTATGTGATAAATAAATTATGTTTTCTTCCATTAATAAAGATGTTGTAATATACAATAAAAAACGAGTGGTTGAGCATGTTTTAAAATTCTTTATAGAAAGAGAGACGAAGAAAAGAATAGTATAGTAGGGATTCGAACATTGCAATAATAATGTCACCCTAAAAGTATGACTTTTGGTTGGTATTACTATAAATTCGAGACTTCAGACTCGAATCCAGTTGTTCTGGCACATAGGTTGTCGCTGAATTGGTAGATGTTGGTGATTTCTCTACGGTAACAGTCTTGTTATAAAAGTCATCTTCGTCCATATAATGCATTTTCATTTGTCGCGGTCTATACATCATCATTACTTCATTGCATTCTTCCTGTTCAATCGTTCGTCTACCCTTCAAGAAATCTTTTTGATTTTCATTCGATAATTCTTCGAGTGATTTCTTTTTCGTTTCCGGGATTAATAATGTGAACAGGAATCCGAGGAACATAAATCCCGCGAATATTTGTATGAGTCGATTAACCCTATATAAGATACAAAATCCGAGAACTGGTAAATTATAATGTTTTTGGGTGTTCCCTCTATCTATATCGATATGCATACCACATATTTGGTCCACCAATATCCTTAAGCGTTAAGAATCCAACTTGTGCGATTATTGCGCCAAGTTTTCCAGATGCTGCCGCAATACCGTGGCCTGTTGACCGATAACGGGTCGGAAACACTTCTCCAGGAACTATAAATGTCGTCGAATTTGGCCCGAAATTTTGGAAGAACTGTACATGTATCGGTATAAATGAATTAAACCAAAATTTTTCAAATCAATTTTTAAAAAAACCAAAATGATACCTGGGCCAATGAAAATAGGATGATGAAAAATGTGAGCGACTGCGTCTGCAACACATGATATCTATATATATAATAAATATTAAATAAATAACCCCAATACTTATTTCAGCTTATAATATGCATACTAATAGTAGACGATTTAAAATAATTACCCAAATCCGAGCACCAGAAATATAACCGTCAAAATCGCAAATCCCATTGCTTGGATAAATTTTCTTCCCAAAGTATCAATAAAAAATACAGTGAACCAGTAACCAGGTACAGTACCAAGCATAGTAATTATGATGTTTCCAACTGTCATATTCCATAGTGATGTAAATGGATCAGAACTTTTTGCGAATCCGATAGCGTTCAAAATAATGCCATTATTCAATCCAATTCCATAAAATGCAATATCCAACACAAACCTAATTAACGTTAAATATAATAATCTAAGAATATTTTTTATGGTAAAAGAAAAAAATGGGTTGTCAAATTAATTACCAAGACATGCTTGTCCCAATTAAAACTTTCGCGTTTTTCCATTGCCCAAAATACTCTTTAAAGTCTTGCCAACTATTGGCTGGTGGTTTCGTGCACAGGTTCGGATTATCTTTATATTCTCCGGCAACGGAAGCTTTTCTTGTGACCACCATAATATCGTTTGCTGCTTTTCCTACGTTTCCTTCAATATCAATTGTGAAACGTGGTGATTCTGGTATAGTCAGACGAAAATACAGCCCGATAAAGGCTGGGATAATGCCAAGACCAGTAACTATACGCCATACATAATCTACATTACTTTTATCCTCATTTATTGCTTGTTTGTAAAATGATAATACTACGACTGCAAAAATCCCTGCTGATAGAATTCCAAAACCTTGCATCGCAAACACGGATGCCATCATTGCCCCTCGTCTAGAAGTAGTTGCAAATTCACTTGTTATCACTAAAAGGAAACATAAACAACTTTAAT